AACCTGCTAAACTTCAAGGCTTTTATATCAAATAGTGGTAGAGCTATAAGTAAGTTAACAAGTAAAGTGGTGTAGAAGTGGAGGGTAGTATATGTTTATCACTTGTTTGTGAGGTTTGGAGGGAAAATGAAGATATATCTGGAGGTGAAAGAATTCTTCCTGCACATTTAAAAACAGAGAGGAAGGATGCAGGGGATGGTGGAGGGGCAGTTAAAATGCTGGGCAGGGGACATAGCTGAGTAAAGATAGCTCCAGAGGAGACAAGATAGAAGACATAGGCAGGAGACCTCCCAGTGTAATCTAGGCAGTGTGCCTCTGTTCTATTCAGCTACTTCTGTGCAACAAACTACCCTGAAACCATCCTGATTCGTGAGCAGGAGTTGGGTAGGACTCAGCTGTGATTATCCTGCTCTATGAGGCATCAGTTAGGGTCAGTCCTTGTACTCAGCTAGTGATGGGGTTGGTCTGGAGCTTTCAATATAGCTTCACCTGCATGCCTGTTGCCATGGAAGGCTGTGCTCACATGGGATTCTTTCCTCTCTGTGTAGACCTGAAAATTGTCTATGTGATCTCTCTAATAAAAGTGCAGGACTCTCTAGTGTCAGTACAGAGCTCCATGAGACCTTGATGGGAGCTCTCACTCTGGGGTTGGCACCAGCCTAGGATCACTCTCTTCTTCTAGCAGGTACAAAGGCCAGACTAGACTCAGAAAGAGGGTATATGGAACCCACCTATCTATGTCAGGACTATATAATAAGTTGTGCATCTTTAACCCACCACAGTCACTCTCTAGAAAGGACAGATGAACAGAGGAAGGGCAATTGCAATATATAAAATCATGAAAATTAAGTACAGACACACTAAATGGCCTGCACAGTAAAACAAGGATGGAGGTAAAAGAGAAGGGTTTGGTCTAGGTCTAAGTCTAGGGGGTCTGGTCATTTATTTACCAAGTAATCTCAAATTGCTTTCTCACCTGTGAAGTGTCGTTAATAGTAGAACCTACCTGAGTCTGAAATTGTTTTCAGAAGACAAAATTTAAGACAAAATTTTTAACAATTAAGTCATAGACTGAGGAGTGCTCTTGAAATTAAGGTACTACCTGTGAAAAGGCAAGGAACCAGGATTGGCCAGAGGAACAAATCAAACTTGCAATAGGCCAATGACCACCCTGTCTGACCCCAACAGGAGTTTTGGAGTAAGAATGACCCTTCTGAGTAACTCTGACTAGACTAAGATCATTTGATCTTTAGTCATTCCCTAGAATGAGTCCCAGAGTGCTTGGATTCAACTTCACATTTAGCAAGCAAACACACCCATACCAAGTTTTTTATTTGCACTTGCAAATGGCTACCTGAGGGAAGGATGCCCTGAGCAAGTTTTCTCTCCAGCTAAGATGATCCTTGTAGGGACTGGGAGCTTAGTATATCAGTGGCAGTCCTGGCAGCTGGGTCAAGAATCTCTTCTTGCAGAGAGATCTGGATGCTGCACTTCAGTGTCAGCCAGAGGTGATAGTAAGACTTAGGCAGCACTGAAATAGAGTCTTGTACACTGTTAGTCATGCTTGAATGTCAGCTGTTGTTTGCCAGTAGTGGTTTTGGTAAAGGCTTTTTAAACCAGAGAGAGAGGTAGTTTGCAGAATGATGATGTGGAGCGGTGTCAGGAGATGGCTAGTGAGACTGTACAAGGGATTAAGCAGCATCTAACAGAGTCTGGGTGGGTAAAGAGTCAAAGGTAGCCAGAGAAAGCCCAGCTAATGGACTGGGCAAATTTTGAAAATTGCTAATATGTTCAAAGAGCAGTGTCAATAAGGTAGCACTCTCTTCACTGTGTGAATAAATGAAAAGGTCATTGGACCACACTGCTTCTCTTTCCCATGATTATTCAGCATCACTGGGGCATGAGGTAATGGGAAGATAATGGGCTCTGGGTTCAGATCCCAGTTCTGCCATTCCCCAGTTGTGTGAACTTTAGCAAGTTAATTAATCTCTCTGAACCCCAGCCTCCTCATTTTAAAATGGAGATCAGAATAACAAGCTTGTAGGGTTGTTGATCAGTAATATGTGTGTGTTATGCATATGTGTTATGGATATATATAATTAGAATATCTATCTATCTATCTATCTATCTATCTATCTATCTATCTATCTATCTATATAATTAGAATAAATTCCTGGGATCAACAAGTAGAATTTTTTATGAAACATGGGGTCATTAGTGAACTGCCTCCTTTCACCATTCAAAAATCCCTTAGAATGAACTCTAGAGTGATTTAACTTAATGTTTAGCAAACAAGAGCCTTTGTGTCAGGTTCTCTGTTTGCACTTACACATGTGTCCTTGCAACAGTTCTGTTAGGTACAAATTTATCATCTCCCTTTACATATAATTATAATGCACTGATAAAATATTTAAAAAATAAAATAGTTCAAGAGAAAAACTTTTGCCCCTTTTCACAAATAAGGCAACTGAGATTTAGAGAAGCTAAGAGCCTAAGGGGTTCGGCAGCACATCTAGTGGCATAGCTGGAATTTGAACCTATGTCTTTTGAGTCTAGGCTCATTGTCATTTCTGCTGCATCACAATTATCTTGTCCTAGATGTATTTAGTATTTCTTTGCATCTAGCATTTAGCAGAGGTCCCAAGACTTTCAGTGGGCTGGTGCTGTTTTGCAGTGGTGCTCACACCTGGCCAGGTCAGGTGTGTGTTTCAGGGGGTCTAATTGCTATAGATTGAAGCTCTCATCTCCACCATCAGCTTGGATTGTCAGCTTTCTTCAGAATAATTAAAAGAAAGTAAAGGAGGAGGGAAAGGACTAAAGAAATCATCTTTGTACATTTTAATCTGAGCCGGTTTTGAGCAGTGTGATAAGGTAGGTTGTAGAAATGTCAGCTTCTCCTTATCTCTAATTGACTTAAGTAGAGGCAGCTCTAATCCTTGTGTGCACAGGAGCCTGGAATGGAGAGATGAGGCCAATTGATTCCTACTTTTTAATTAACAGATGAGCTGCTTAAAAACAATAGTATATTGGGGGCAGCTTGGGAGCATGAGGGAGTGTGAGGGTGGGTCATCTCCACGGCAGTGACATTTAGAGCAATATTAACAAGTGTCAGCATTTGATTTGAATCAGGGGCCGGAGCAGAGCTAATCAGTCTGTCTCACAAATGGGTGTGGTCACAGAAGGCTGCTGCCAAGGTGACAAAGAACTTCACTATTGTCTCCCTACCTGAATAGGGAGACTCTTTACCAATCATTATGTAAGGGGTTCAATCAGTTAATAGCATTGGTGGATTTGGACCTAGCTGTTTCTGAACAATGATGATACAGCCTGGTTGGTTATGTGTGGGAAGATTCATCCATAATTAATGAATAAGACAGGAATAAGAATTCCTACACCATAACTGATGTGCTCATGTGTCTGCCCCCTGGCCACCCAGAGCTGACCAGCTATTCCTGTGTTTGTGCTTAATCTAAAATAGATGATCTTTTTAAAAAATTTCTTGTAATATCTTCTTATTCTGAACCCCAGCCTTTTGAACAAATGCCCTCATTTTTACAAATTACCTTCTTCCACCTGAGAGTTATATTTCATCTGTACCCTGCTTCCCCCTACTAGTCCTATATCAGCTTGGTCAAGACTGTGAGCACAGTTTATCTTCATCCTCAATGAGCCTCACTACTACCTTTACATTCCATTGCTAGGGCTGTTCCATTCCCCACACTAATTCTCTGGATACTATTACCTCTTTGGTAAGCATTAAAATTTTACTTCATCTTCTGGATATTGATATTTGAACTCTACTCTGCCCCGGTAGGGGATGGAGAAGGAGGAAAAAAACTCATTGTTGAATTACTAACATTTCATCAATGATAATATACAGATGATAACACTTCTCTCATAGAGTGGATATGAGCATTAAGTAAAATGCACATTTAAAGGGTATAGCATAATCTCAGACATAAAGTGCTTAGTAAATGTTCCTTTTCCCTGTCATAGTCCTCCTCCTCTTCCTTCTCATTGAGTTACCTCAGTGGATAAAACATGGTAATCATATGGTACTATTTGAATGTCCCCTCTTCCTCCAACATCCTATGCAAGAGCTATCCTATGAGATCTCTCTCTTCCCTTGGTATTTTCAAGATTCCAGCTTTCTGGAGTGTTTTGGGGCCTTGCCACCATAGATCATTTTGCTGAAAACACCAGCCAAGTATTCACCAGAATATAATGGACTTTTAATTAATATTCTTAATATATTAGTAAACAGGAGTCAGGACCATGGACTCAATAGCCTTTGAAAATTATCATTCAAAGATGTGATTTTAAAGATGTGACATTTAAAGATGTGATTCTTCCATGGATTTGAAAATAATAAATAATATAGTCTTGCTAATATTCTTCCATTCTACCATACATAAATTTCATCTCTGTCTTTGAGTTTGTTCTAATTTTGTGTATATTTTATCTTTATTGTTATTTCAGATTTTAAAATGTTTTTTTTAGTACATTGTAGTTAACAATAATAGTGGGTCCCTTTTAATATAGTCATACTTTCATGGAATATCATTTGCTGAGTTTCAGTCTCCAGAATTTTTTTTTTCAGTCTTTCCCTCCCCTTCTTTCTCCCCATGTCCTCCTTCATCTACTCTATTAGTTTTCCTTCTATTTGTTTATTGTTTTTATAATTGGTGCTTTATGGACATACATAAAGGAGGAATGTACTACAATATATTCATATATGTGCATTGCATAATTTGGTCAATTTTATTCTATTTGTCCCTCCTCCCTTATTTTACTTTTTTTTTTAAGAGAGAGAGAGAGAGAGAGAGAGAGTGTGTGTGTGTGTGTGTGTGTGAGAGAGAGAGAGAAAGAGAGAGAGAGAGAGAGAGAATTTTTTAATATTTATTTTCTAGTTTTCGGCGGACACAACATCTTTATTTTGTATGTGGTGCTGAGGATCGAACCCGGGCCACGTGCATGCCAGGCCAGTGCGCTACCGCTTGAGCCACATCCCCAGCCCCCTTATTTTACTTAATGATTTCCCACCAAAGCTCTGGTATCAGAGTATCATAGTGATCTGGGTATATGTACTTCTTCTCCACTAGAATTAATAGAAGATTGTTGAAGATGGTGTCTTGATCCTGTTTCTCTTGCTGTAACTTAGTATTATAGACTGGGTAATTCACACACAAAAAAGTTTATTTAATTCAGGGTTCTGGAGGTTGGGAAGAATAAGGGTAAGGGGCCGGCTCTTGGGGGCCAGCTCTTGATACATGGCTCTATGTGGAGTCGTCCCATTGTGGAAAGGCAGAAAGGCAAGCAAACCCACATGAGAGGGGAAGCAGGAAGTGCTGGGCTGTCCTTATTTCAGCCTATTCTCAAGATAATCAACCCACTCCTGTGATAACAACAACAATCCACTCACAAAGGCTTCATCCTTATGACCCAATCACTTCTTAAACAGCCCACTTGTTAGTACCATCACAATAGCAATTAAATTTAAAAGTGAGGTTTGGAGGGAGCATTCAAATGTACCATATGGATACCATGTTTTATCCACTGAGATAGCTCAATGAGAAGGAGGAGGAGGAGGACTATGATCAGAAAGAGGAGCACTTCCTAAGCAGTTACTTTATGTCTGAGATTATGCTATACCCTTTAAGTATGCATTTCACTTAATGCTCATATCTACTCAATGAGAGAAGTGTTATCATCTGTGTATTATCATTAATGAAATGTTAGAAAATGTTAAGAAACTTTTGCAGATTCTTGCAACTACTTAAGTGCCAGAGGTGCTTTACCAATATGCAACACAATCTTTTTGCATCTACTCCAGTGCCTGGCACATAATAAGTTTATATCTTGTATTTAATAAATGAATTATGAGTTAAGACATGAATTCTATGTCCATTTCTTCTACTTGCTTGAACAATTTCTTCTAAACAATTGACCTGTCTTCTCCTAATTCACTGCTTTCCACAGATCCCAATACAGAGTATGTGTTCAGTAAATATTTAATAAATGAATGCTAAATAAATGGATGAATAAACGCTTGATCCTAGAAGTCTCTTCTGGTTCTAGCAGTCTGTATTGTAGCTTGTGTTGATCTCTCTTTTTCTGACATCTCATGCCTTATCTATGTGCACACATTGAATTCTATTCCACCTTTTGTTGGTTTTAACTGTTCAGTATGTATGTTCCGTATTCCCTTATATTCTCCAAAGTGCCTAGCCCAGTGCCTAAATATAAGAAGTGTTCTGTAAGTAGAGTTTAAATTGAATCTGAGAATTGCTTCAACACACTTTTAGCCCCTAAAGAATGCTGAAGTAGCAGTAACCTGCTAGTTTAGTCTTTAGAGAAACTACCATGTGTTCTCTGCTAAACAGATGTTTTTGACAGGCCAGGGAGCAGCATCTAGGCTGCTAGCTTAAGGCACAATTTGACATAGTGCCACGGTGTACTTACCATTGGCCTGTAAGTGCTGGTCTCCCGGTAGAAAGGGTATTTATGCAGCTCTTAGTAACTCCAAAGGGCAATGATCTAAAATACAGACCCCAAGGTAACTTATAAAATTTCTTTAACAGAATGAACAGTCCTCTTGTGTGTTTGTAGACACACCCACACACTCACACACTACTGAGACACATATTGGTACATACATATATGAGCCAATATCAACTCTTTCTGATTCTTATGCTACTTTTAAATTTGGGGAGAACAATTACTTCTCAGCCTTGCTTCTTCCTGAACTTGAGGGGCAAAAACAATCCTGAGAGGGGAAGTAGGGTGGGGAAATACAGATAGGCTCATCACTGTTCAAAGAAAACTGAAGTCAGTCAGTGTCTGGACTATCCAGGGAAATTGTGGCTTCTTTCAGCATCAGAGCTTCTAGATTTTAAAGGACTTCCAGGACTGAAATCAAGGCAAATTGATGCATGTGCTGGCTTCATGGTACGGGTATATACCCAGATATTGTAGATACTCTAAGAAGTAACTAGAGAAAAATTAAGAGAAAGATGAAAAGTCTGAACCCGGAGTGAACGCCCCCTGTCTTTAGTTATTCTTCCTTCATCTAGCCAGTTTGATTTTATTGGCCCAAGGCCATGATTACTCTTGATTTTCACTTTCACTAATAAGATATTCTTGGGGAGAAGGGAATGAAGTATTTGTCTGAATCTCCTTACCTTCTCAGCCATTGGTTTCTCCTCCCACACTCCCAGGATACCACCTCTCCAGTCATGGCCATTGTACAGATGGGTTAAAGAACCTTCTGGAAATGAGAGGATATTGGGCATTTGTCCATCCTGTGCCACCCATCTCATCCTATTGGATCCATCTGAAAAAAGTGAATGAATGCTTGATCCTAGAAGTCTCCAGCCATTCAGCATTCCATCACTATAACAAAAACCTAAGGCAGTCAGCTCACAAAGAGACAAGGTTTATTTTGGCTCAGAGTTTTGGAGGTTCTAGTCCATCATCAATTGGTCCCATTGCGCTGGGCCTGTGGCAGCACTTCATGGTGGAAGCCTGTAGTAGAGCAAAGCTACTCATCTTCACCTCAGGATGAGCCAGGGAACAAAATGGAAAAAAAAAAAAAGAAAGAGAGAGAGGATGTGTACTGCAAGTCCCTTGGTCTCCCCAATAACCTCCCACGAGGCCCCCTACCTCTTAAGGGCTCTACTATACCTAGTAGTAGTTCTGGGGACTAATCCTTAAACACTCAAGTTTGAGGATACTCCAGAACCAATCCATAGCATTCTGAATATTGAAATATTACTCTATCAGATATCAATTACCTTACAGTGACATTTGTTCCACACATTCCTTTAGAACTATCTCATTAACCTGGATCATTCTGGTACCTAGTAAAGTGTCTAGGTATTCATTAAACATTGACAGAATACATAAATTTAAAAAAAATCTAGAAGGGTTCAAGATATACCTAGACTACTAGGATGGCTTCTTTAACCTACTCACCCCAACACACACACACACACACACACACACACACACACACACACACAAAGACTGAATGCATGAAAATTAAAGGGGAAAGAAAAGAGAAAGAAATACACTTACTGTTGAAGTTACCCAGTGAACTTTGATGCCTTTCACAAAGAAAACGTACCAGTCATTTAATTGGGGGACTTGAAAGCTCACAAAAGAGAAAGGAGGGTGGGAAAATAGGAGGGAAAGGAAAAACACTTTCCCCACCATAGGGAGGGCTGGGACTGGGAACAAAAGCCCTATGATTCACCCAAGAATAGAAGCTTAAAGGACTCTAACTACATGCCAAGGCGCCAGAGGTTCTGCCAACCTCAGCTCATGTGGGTATTTGCCCTTTGATGTAGCCAAGGAAGAGGATTTCAGCAGCAAATGGTGACCTTAGAACAGCTGTGCTAGAGGGCCATTTTGGAGAAAAATCCTTAACCTTGCCCTTACCCTATTTCCCTTCCTTCCTAATTGCTAACGGAAGGAAAGAATTCGTTACTAATTTAGAAGAACCAAGGTTTTGTTGCTGTTGGAATATCTTATACAGAAAAAAAACAAAACAAAACAAAAAAAACCTCAGGCAATTAAGGAAGAAATCTGAGCTACTCTTTGTTCAAGGTGAAGGAGAAGGAAGAAAAGGTAGAGGTAGAGATGGACTATGAGCAGTCATGACAAGAGGATGTGGTAGGAGACCGCACAGCGCACAATAAGCACCCGTCATGAGTAGAGGCTTCCACATATTCTTGATTGAATCCTCACCATCCCTATTAAACATGGCCCTGTTATTCCCACATCACAGATGAGAAAGCTGAGATTTCAGCAAAGCTAAGACGAAGACTCCACTGCCGATGTGGCAGGATTGAAAGTGGAATCTGTCATATGCCAGGAAGACAGTGTATCTAAGCAGAACCTGTGGAGGGAAGAAAACACTTTCTCTACCTTCCTTGATCTTTCCCTTCCACTGCTACAGCTGTAGCATCTTTCTTTGAGCTGTTAAAACTGCCTGTTCCCTCTGTGGAGGGCTAAAACACATCTAAACAGAACTAAACAGAAAAACCTCTAAAACCAATCAGAGTGGTTAAATATTTATTGCACCCCTACCCTGAGTTTAGACCACTATGAGCTAAGAATACAAAAAAGAGGAAAACATAGTCCCTGACATAGAAAAGTTCCACTCCATCTAAAACACCACTGAAAAACAAGGTGGGGTGTTTTACTAAGGCAGGTGTGAAATGTTTTGGGAAAACAAATAAGGGAATATTAAGTCCTCTGATGTGAGAGAATTAGCTTAAGTTTTTGTGATAATCCAATTTTTTGGGGGGGACAAGATGGGAAGGCATTCCAAACAGAAGGAATCGCATGTGGACAGGAGCTTTCACCTGGGCTGTAGGAAACCCTGGGTGTTCAATGGGGACAGATTAAAGGTCTGAGTCAGCCTTCAAGATGCTCCCTTAACACATGTTTGTTTGGGGGAGGGTGGCTTATGGTCGTTTTATTTTATTGTATAAAATATATAACACACTATCATTTTAATCATTATTAAAGTTATGATTTAGTGGTATTAATTACATTCACAGTATTAGGCATCTGTCTCCAGAAATTTTTCATCATTCCAGACAGAAATTCTCTTCCCCTTAGTTGTGGTTAATAATATAAGTTGTTCCCTTCTCCCCCAAGTCTCCTGTGTTAATGCTGGAATATTTAGAGGTGAGATTGAATTAGGAGAGCTGTAACAATCAGTCCATCCTAGTTTGAATGCACTGACTTGGTGATAATATAGGCAGGTGGGGCAAGGATGGAGGAGGTGGGTCACTGGGATAGAGGGTACCCTGGAAGGGTTCATCTGCCCTGGGGCCCCTTCCCCTCTCTCTCTCTGCTTCCTTGCTGCTATAAGTTGAGCAGCTTTCCTCTGCCATGATGCTCTGCTTAGAGCAATGAAGTCAGCCAATCACTTTACTGAACCTCTGAAACTGAGCCAAAACATTTTCCTACTATAAGTTGTTCTTATTGGTTATTTTGGTCACAGTGATGGAAACTGAACTGACATACTTTAAACAAAACTCTTCATGGCTTGCCTTTTTTCAGTCCCTGGTACCCTCTATTTTACTTTCTGTCTCTAAGAATTTACCTTTTCTCGGTTCATGTAAGGGGGATCATATGATATTTGTCTCTTTTTCTTTTGTTTTGCTTTATTTATTTTGGCAGAATGTGTTCACAATGAGTCCATGATCTAATGTACAGAATTCCATTACGTTGGTGACTGAATATTATCCCAATGTATGCATATATCACCTGGTGCTTATGCATTCTTCTGTTTGTGGACATGTGGGTTATTTCCACTTCTTTGCTTCTGTGAATATTGTGGCTATGCATATGATATACAAGTGTCTGTCCATGTCCTGCTTTCAATTCCTTTAGGAATATACCCAGAAATGAAAGTGTCAGGACATATAATAATTCTGTGTTTAATTTTTTGAGAAACAACCTAATTGTTTCCCATAGCAATGGCTCCATTTTTATATTCTCACTAAAAGTGCACAAGGGTTTCAATTTATCCACATCTTCACACTTACTGTTTTTTTGTTTTTTAAATGATAGCCATCCTAATGGGTGTGAAGTAGTTCTTTCATTGTGGTTTTATTTACATTTCTTTAATGATTAGCAATGCTGATTTTTTTTTTCATGAGCTTTTTGGACAATTATATTTCTTTTTGGAGGAATGTCTATTCAAGTCCTTGGGCAATTTTTGAGTGGTTTGTTTGCTTGTTGTTATTCAATATGTAAGTTTTGAGTATCGGGGGCTTTGGAATTGAAACTAAATGTCACCACTAACAGTGTAGGCTTATTTGTTTTTAAGTTTAATAAAAGACAGCTCTGCCTTGCTGCGATGTGAGACTGGAAGCATATTTAAGTACTCCTGTTGTTGGTGGTGTTGCTATACATTTTCTTGTGTTTCTGGAATAAGTGACTCTTCCATAGTCCCCCATGACCAAAGGTAATAAAACTCATAGCAGACAGGGGAATACCAAGCTAAATAAAAACCCAGAGAAACCACTGCGAAACAATCTGAGGATGTAAATCATATATCGTGAAAGCCATTGGATTAGAAACACATTATCCTTGTCTGATTTGCTAACACCCACATGTTCCAAGTAAGCTTCAAGTTTGATTTACACCCTGACATTTAAGGAAATGGAAAAGGGTGATCCAGCTCGGTCTTGACAAATGCTTTTCTCTGTGTCTTTAACACCAGCCAAGGAGAACAATGGGATAGGTATCCCAATCATATAAATGGGGACCTGGCCCAAGGAGGGCCTGGGCCCCACAGGTAAACAGCTTCTCTGCCCACCCCCCAACTTGATCCTGCAGAATCAGGTCAATCATTAGCTACTGGGTCTAATGGATGCAGTCCAGCATTGGGGGTCAAAATTCTTGGCTTCCAGTCCTCACCCTGCCCATGTTTCCAGGGGTCTTGGAGCTTATTTTCCCTGAAATGGAGACAGAAGTTTTAGCTGCAGGATTGTTAACGTGATCCATATGAAACAACGCATGTTCTGCACACAGTCCATCTGACGGGAAAAGCAATTTGAGAGATGCTACAGAAGGCAAAAGAGTGCTGAACAGGGAGGATGGGGAAGTGACAGCAGCAAAGCTAAGCGCGTACACATAGAAAAACAGGATGGTTTGTGTCCAGCACCGAAAGCAGATGTCAGCTAGAAGTTGGAAGTTTATTCACTGCATTTCCCTGTAGATTTGAAGGCCTCTCTCCCACGGCATAGACCCCCCAGCCAGCGTCCCTGGTGGCATGTTATTTTCTCCCACCAGAGATTCTCCCTTCTCCCCTGGGCCTCTGCCTTGCCAGGCAGTCCTGAGCCATAAGCACTAATCCCCACAGCTCCTCTCAGAGGGAGGTTTAGCTGCATTTGCGAATTCAGAATTAAATCCCTCATATCCCCCAATCCAAGTGAACAGCTGGCAGTAGATACTGATAGCAAGGAAAGAAGTCGTCACTTTGTTGGATGTTACCCTGAATAATAAGTGAAACGCTTACGACATCTCTGAGAGCATCCAAAGCTGCCATCACCCAGTCTCTGCCACCACCTGGCCGTTCGGCAGAGTGAACAGTCTCCATTAAAAACATGGATGTAGTCAAATGTCTCTGGATACTCATGATAAATTGTACAAGTGGTGAGAATTGGAACACACACACACACACACACACACACAGGCTTTAGAAACAAATTTTGTTTGTGTATGATGTTAAGTAAGATATAAAGCATCTTCAAGTCTTGCTCCTCTCTTACAAAATGGGAGTAGTACCTAACCAAAGATCTCCTGTTAGTGTTAGGGTTAAAGCATGTAAAGAGTTCTCTGGCATATTATAGGTGCTTAATAATTGATAGTTCTTTAGCTCCTCATCCAACATAAAAGAATACCATGTGCTTGATTTTTTTTGCCCCAAATAACAAGCCCTATTATGATATTTTGAGGAGAGGATAGGAGTAGATTAAAAAAAAAATCTCTATATCAAACTGATATAATTTTGGGCACAGAGCCATTACTGGAAAGTTGCTAGCAGAAAGGGTTGCTCTTTGGCCTCTAGAGAAAGAGGGGTGTGCTCTGGCTGAGCCAGGTGCCCTGCCCACATTCCTGGAGCACAAAGCCCTTCAGAGCATGCTGAGCCCTTGATGACTGTGGACTCAGCCCGCCCCAGCTGCACAATCACGCGGCACAAATCCCTGTATTTTCAATGGAAGGAGACGCTCCAGTGGCGCCGAAGAAAGACAGAGAAAAGACCTTTCCTTGCAAGCAGTTTCACTCTGCACCCATCACGGAACATGTCTTTAAAATTCACATTGAGTTTGCCTCTGGAGGGAAGGTAGATGAGACTCATTTGTCTGCCTGCCCTGTGGCTCAGGGTGGTCCAAGGGACAGCTGTGAGCTCTCTGGGACAAAAGAAGCATGAGGGGGCCCTAGGCAGAAGAAGGACTTAATTAATTAATGTGTTGATTGAGCACCTACTGTGAGCCAGGCTCTATGCTACCACAGTGGGAGGCACAGACTTGACTTCTGGTATCTTAAATTTTAGCTAAGAGTGATAATAAAACACTTGTAAAAATTTAAATAACAACATACAAAATAAATAACAACTTAACTCAATAATATAGGCGATGTCACATAACACTGTGGTCCATGATT